TAGGACAAGGGGGATTGGACCCAGAATACAAAGGTGGCAGCATAGTGGTCCAGGGCAGGGCAGCAGCACCTAATGAAGACAGGACGAGCACTTTGGGGATGGGAGGACACCAGCGGCCTTCCTGGCATCAATGCCTTTCTTGGATTTTTAAGTGGAGGGCTCCCATGCCGATCACTTCCTCCGCCTGCTGGCACTACCTGCCTTTGGTCATGAAGGCTCAGCTCAAGGTCGGAGAGCCCTCACCATGAAGTTGCTCACAGACACCTCCCTGGGTGAGATCTGGCCCTCTCATCCCCAACACATGGCCAATAGCACTGACATCTCTGCCAACCGCTGTGACCAAGTACTGGCTCGATGCTACTGGCAGCTGTTCAGTGAAACAGAGTGAAATCCTAAAACCATCGTCTTGTAAGGGAAAATTTTGCCAAGAACTTTTCTGTCCCTGAAACCACATCAACTTGTATAATACAGTCTCTTCTGGCACACAAGAGACTCCAAACCTGGCTATATTTATACCAGCTATTGAGTCACTTTGCTGAGTAAGAACTGTCTTCTTAGCATTGCACACCATACACACACGTCCCAGTAGAGATTTATCCTCTCTGAAAGCCAACGCATGTCTCCATTAGTACATTAATTACTGTGCAATATGCTGTGTGTATGCGTATCTACATTCTTTCCTACCTATGGGTGTCAGACTTGATAAATTTGTGGTTTAGCCTGTATCAGTATTGGCTGGTAATACAAATTACCAAAGATGTCAGTTTACCAATGTTAAGTGCTAGCTGACTTCAGAAAATAACAAAAAATTCAAGTGCTAATTGTTGCTATTTAAAGCATAACAATGGCAGAAGCTGACACTTCTAAAAGATTAATTATAAAATATTATTTCACTAATATATCATTTATGTAGTATTAGCTGCCAAATTGGATGGAAAAAAAGCAGGCAATAGCTGTCTAGCAAAGCACATGGATAACTAACCAAAGTATAAAACCAACAACTGGGATTAGCTGATCACTTTCCTGCCTCTTCCAGGAACTTGACATGTCCTTGGGAATGAAGCCACTGTGTCGTGAAGCATGTCTAAGCTATGTAAAACCTCGTAATGCAAACATTGCCGAGCTTGCACAGACCTACGCATTTCAGGGTAGCCAGCTGTGCCTAGCTCCACCTACAGCCATTGCTCTATAGCTGTGCCAGCTTCAGAAGGGAGCAGTATAGCTGCTTTCACAGGACCCTGCACCTGACTAATAAATTCCAGCTCCTGAAAGGCTTCCTGGGTTATATGTAATCTCATGCAATTAAGCTAGACTGCCTTCTGATGCAAGCTGGGTAACATGAAGCTAGGATGAGGTATCCGCTGACACTGCCCTATGCTTCTGATGCAGAGGTTACTCCAGACACCCTGCATCCACTGCACTGATACGCTTGCAGTTCCCTTCAACAACAGCTGCAATGAATGACTTTACTGGAGCCCACTGACATTCTCATATAAAAAGCAGTGCACAGGTGCTACTGGTAACAATCTGATTAATAGCACTGCCCGTGTTTCAAGAAGCAGGACACTCAGCTGCTACCTACTAAGATAGAAACATTGACTTTTTTGAATTTAGGATTCAACCTTTTTGATCCACTCACATTAGTTCTAAAAAATAAGAATGTATGAAGTTGCAAATGGATTTACTATCCAAGCTGTAATGTCAGGAAAGGGTTCTACATTTCTACTAAAACACAGGAGTGCAGAGAGTATCACTTGACTCCACTTGTGGAATTGCTAAGCTCTGTTCTAGGCTGGTCCTGCTGCAGCAGAAGCAGAGTTCATACAGTTTCCAGCAAGCTAGACCCCCCCCTTGGAGATTCAAAATGCCACCAAAACCCACTACTTTTTAATTTAAATTCTTCCCTTACTCTAAAGGAGGTGTATGACCAGCCAATCTCCTTGTTTCCGAGGCACAGAGGTTACTCTCTCTCTTCCCTGGCCTTGATTCTGTTAGAGAGGGTTAAAGACCCTGACTAAGCAAAACCTACTGAATAGTTCTTTTCAGCAAAGCGCATAAGCACATGCTTAACATCAGGTATGCTTTACAAATCCTATCAGCTTTCTTGAGTGCAAATGGATATAAATAAATGCTTATATGCTTTTCTGAAATAGGCCTGAAATGAAGACAGCCTAAAGGATTCTCTGATGCTACCTAGAGTTCTCCACAGTCTCTTTGTGTGTCAACATGACACATACAGGTGACAAACTCAACATGCAATCCCAGCATGACCCAAGGCTGACCAGCTACTTAGACATCATTGGAAGTCTCTGTGATTGCTTCCCTAAGAAAAAAGGAATGCTGTAATTTGCTCAGGTTTTGGATTTTGCTCCAAGTTGTGATAAAGCAGCATTTGACCAATTTTTAATGGTGCAATTCACTGTATAAAATCAGGATCCTCCACTTTTAGCTAAGCAAATTTCCATTAATTTATTGATGCTGTTAGATACCTACCATTTTTGCCTCTCAGACCTTTCCAGGTTTCTGTGATACTAAACTGCCCTGTCCAGCAGTATCTTTTTTCTAACCTCAACACACCTTTCATCTTGGCATTAATATGAAACCACTACAAGCGGTATTTTCCTAATTACTTTTCTGTTCTGATTCTTCTGTCTTCCCCCACTGATAACATGAGTGGGTAGAACCTCTGCTCTATTCCAAACTCTAATCTCTGCTTAAATCACGCAGCAGCCCCAAAACAAGCAAAGTAAATTATATTTGAAAGACCACTGTCAGCAGGGAGCAAACAGCAATGTGCTATGGGCATCGTAGTGTCTTTCGCAGACACTATCCCTCTGCTGCTCCGACCACTCTAACAGAGAATCTGGGTTCCACCCAAAGAGCAGCAAACAGCAAAGCAGCAAACAAAACCCTTTTACCACATGTCCCCTAGGGTTGTGGAATCGCTCCGATCTACATCTGTAGGCACTGTCTCCCTGCAAGTCACTAATACGTAGCAGAGCAGTGGGATGGAATAAAAAAAGTCCCAGAAGATGCCAGAATATTAAGAAATGGCATTTTCGCCACTGGCTGCTTCCTTCTTTAGCCATCCATGGAGAGAGGTAAAGGAAAAGAAAAGAAAAATACCAGCAAAGGCAGAAGGGAAATAACAAGGTGGGAAGGGGAAGGAAGGAAGGAAAATGGGTAGGTAACCTGGAATTGCTCCGAAAGCTGTAATGTTGCCTCCGTACACACCACCCAGGAAAAGAAATACACACAAGCTGTGCCAAACAGCATGAGGCAGAACAAAGTATGCCCACGACAAGTATGCTTTCATGCTGCTGCCAAACTTAGCAGAGTGCTGCACAAAGTGCAAGGTCAGACCCACAGGCTGTAGTGAACAGAAAAGCAGATACAGTCAGGGTAACGTGGCCTGAGCTTACGCATTTCCTTCCAACATAACCACAATGAACCGGGGCCAGGCACATCATCAAGCCAGCCTCAGAGGTGGGGATTTCTTTGTTTTCCCCCCACATAGTCTTCTTTAAACACTGAAAAACAGATTCTTCCTGTTACCATGGCACTGTTTCATCACTTGTGTCTGAGCACAGTTGTAGACACAGATAAGACACCAAATCCTGGACAGGAAGGTGAAGAAGGGACAAAATGCAGCAGCCCATCACCACGCAGCCACAGACAGCTCTTCTGGAGAGGCTACGTAACAGCTAAAGCTGCCACCCGGCAGAGGTAACCTCCCCTGAACTAACACAGGTCAGTCTTGGGCCTGTTATTAACTAGCATTTGATACACAGTCACAGCGTGGATTTAGATAGGGGTACCAACACTGTTTTCTGAGGGACCCATTCTCCAATTGTCCATTGCTTGATTGACATCTGAAGGAGTAAGGGGAGGTGATGGCACTTTTATAGTCACTCACCCAAGCCATTCAATCTGGTTTACTTTGTGATGACAACTACAGCTCCCAATAGAAATGCCAATTAAACTCTTAGCCATGAGAGCAAGGGCACTTGATGGGCGTATTCTATCATATTCTACATATCACCTACACACTAGAGTCCCAAGCTTCCTTCACATAATGTACAGAATCTGTACACCCACAACCATGCAAGTGTGCTGACCAAACACTGGTGTTTCAGCAGGTCTTAACTCATCTTACTCTCCTGGGGCAGTCTAGGGGTGAAGCACTACAGCTGGCTCAAGGCAGGGTCAACAAATGCCCCTGAAGACCCATTCCACTCCGCTTTTCTCCCCTAGCTGGGATGGGTGCTTTTTTGACCTTCAGAGTGAGCTGGATTGTGGAAGCCATCACTGAAAGCTAACCCTGCAAATTGGAAAGAAACTGATCCTGCTCACCACACTGGTCAAGGGAGCTTAAAAGAAACACAGAGCCAAGCGTGCGTATCACAGGGAGGACAGGTCCTTTTACTGGCAGCAACAGCTTAGACCTGATTAGGGTGATTGTGAAACTGCACCTCTAACTGGACAAGTATAATTAGACAGACAGAAAAATCTCCCAAATTGACACACTCAAGCAGAAATACACAGTCCTTCTTGAAATCCTCACAGGTCATAAGAGTGGGACGAAGGGAACGTTAGAAGACTGCAAAAAGCATGTGATTTGATGTCTTCTGGGTGTCTATTTTTAAAAGATTCTGTCTCAAGTGTTCACTTTGATGCAAGTTTATTGTTTTATGCCTTTAAGACAAGCGTTCTGACTTTCCACAGCCCTGCATTTTCTGTAGTCATTTACACCTGTATAACGTGTGAGTAGTGTGGGTGTAAACATTACTATTCTGGTTTGATAGCATTTGCCACCCACTTTGCCTAGGTGTGAATGACTGCACAAGGTGCAAGGCAATGGTGAAGGTACTGCAGGGACTGTTTTACATAGAACTTACACCCATAGTAATATGGTGCACAGATATGTAAAGAGAGCAAGAGAGCAGAAGGAAAGATACATCAGCTATCTGCCGAAAAAGCAATCTGGCAAGAGGGCTTACCAAGCACAAGCAACTCCACCGATTCTTCATTCTTGCCCTCCACATCATCTGGTGTGATAATAAGGCAGTAATAGAGCCCACTGTCTCCCCACATCAACTTCCCAATTTGAAGGTCTGCATCTGAAAAGCAAAAAAGAAAATTCAGGCTTCCCCTCCAACACCTACAGGAAGAGTGATGTGATGGAAAGCATTGGGTCTGTCTCAGTGTCTCAAAACCACCCTGTTTCCATATTAAAAAAAGGGGTTAACCTTATCCAGAATATCACAGTATTTGGGGAAAAAACAACAGGATGAAGACACCGTGGCTGTAAGTGGGAAGCCAGGTAATGCTGCAGAGGCAGCTCACTCTATAAGTTCTGAGAACAGAAGGAGTAACTAATGTCACACTCTGTCCTTCCTATCACCTAAGGCCTGGGGTCCCAACAGTATTCATGCCCTTGCAAGAGAGGCTTAGACAGCATCTCCTCTACAGCACTTCAGCCATCCCCTGAAGAGGTTACAAGGAGACAAAGGAAAACATTCTCCCCCAGGGTGAGCACATGCTGTCCACACCAAGGAGCCTCCACTTCTGGATAGGCGGTCTCCTGAGTCAAGCAGAAGCCTTGTACTTTTGAGGGACAAGGTTTCTCACACAGCCTTCCAGACCAAATATTTAAGGACCCTGCCACCCCCCATCTCTACCCAACCTGACTTCACCCCATGGAAAGCTCTTCCTTTCACACTGCCCAAGGCATGACAGAGTAACTTGGTGAAGTCCAGAGCTGAGCAAACATGAGGTATCGGATAATTTTGGTTTTTTTGGAACTGGGAAAAAAAATCGGTGGAGTTTGCAAGGAAGAAAAACCTAGCCCGCAGAAATTGAATTCATACCTCTTTTGCTGGCACCCCTTTGTTAAGGAAAATCTATATACAGAGCAGTATGCAGAAGCCAGGAATAAAAACCTTCCACTTCATCAACGGGAAAAGAATACTGCATCAGGGTTGGAGACCTACATGGAGTCGGATGAAGGGAAGCGCCAAAGGAAATGACCTTTGGGTCTAGGCTTGGTTGCTTGAATCCTAAATGTCTGACATACAACAGCTCCCTTCCAGCAGCTTTTTGTAAGGGAGTTAACTGAACAATTACTGCCAGCCTCCAGTATCCCAAATTGCTAAGGGCCACCAAGCATCACTGGGGTAGGAGAGTTACCGTGGACAATGCTGACATCTCTTTCCTTATAGAAGTCCCCTATAGTGACAGCAGATCCTTGTTTGGAAGCCACAACACGGACTGTCCTCCTGCTGTCCACGCAGTCCAGGTAGGGATCCCAGTCCAAGTTCCTCTTGCTCATTGTTTGTAAACCGGAAGTCGCCATACCCAAAGCTTCTCCCATCCGGTCCTGGCAGTAAGATTTAAACCTCCACTGTACCACAGCTGGTTGGGTGGAAGAAGTAGAGAAATGGCAGCGAAGCAGAGCAGGCTGAAACAACATGGCCACCTTCTTCTTCTCAGGCACGGTGACCTGCAACCCTTCCACCTCAGCTGAAAAACAAAAACATGAGTGTCATATGCCTTGGCATTGCTTGAAGACGGAGCTACTGCATTTTACCATTGCATCATTCTCCCCATGTACATAAAATTAAAATGTCCATCTGTTTCAGGTGCTAGGCTGCAATACTCCTCACTGTATGCAAGCACGGATGCTGGCAGCAGAAGTTAAGTTTGCTTTTTTCACAGCCCACAGCCACAAGGAAAAATACAGCACGATGGGCCTGAAGGCTCAAATGTAGTAACTTATGCTCTGTAGAGTCCCTAACACAGCGGTGTGACAATTCAGGGCTTCTGTGGCAGGTTCACAGCTAAGTAAGAGGTATTTTAGGGATGGCTGTACTCCACTTCTACAGCAGGTCAGCCAAGGGGCCAGATCCTGATTTTATAACAATCCCAATGCAGAACGAGTCACCCCCCTTCCAATTTCAGTGGCATCACACCTCCTCTTTGAAAGCCAGGCAAGCACACAGTGCCTGGCTCAGCCCATTGTGCATTGGTGCCCAGTTAGTGCTGCTTGCTCTGCCAAACTCTAGAGATGCATGAGGGAGTGGATCCAAATCGCACAGCTCCTGCCAGGGCTGGCATGTAGCACGGAGAGAAATTGCTCCATGTGGGAGGTGCGGAGAAAAATGGCCCAAACACTCAAGTTTTTCACATTCCCAATGAGGAGATGGATCTCAATACGTAATGTTTATCTACCAGCTGACAGGAGAGCTGCAGCCTGGAGCTGATATATTAAGGCCTCAGAGAAGACGCACAGGACTGCTGCCACATCCTTGTGTAGTTTAGGGAGAAGCCGAGAGTCAGTGAGCAATGCCGGCAGAGAGCCCTCAGGAGTGAGGTACTCCATCTACCCGCAGGGGAATGGCCGAAACCTCCCACACATGCCCTTCATTGCTTCCCTTCTTGCACCACAGGTAGCAAGGACTCAGAGCATTTACACAACACTGGAAACACACACAAACACTTTCCCAAGCAGGGATGTGCCAGCCTGTGGAGGCACAGAAACAGCACAGGGGCAGGAGGACATCTAAGAAAGAGGATGTTTGTAACCAGGGTCACTCTCTGCAGCTGAGGGGCAACAGGGCCCGATGGTGGCGGTTCGTATGAAAAACGGGAACCAGCCTCAGTATGGCAAACATTAATGATGGCAGCTCCCTACACCCAGTTACCATACATCCCAGGGCAGTGCAGAGTAAAAAAGACGATGTGACTTCTCTTATTCAAGAGAATAAAGCAGAAGAGGATGTTTACACAACATCAGGAGGGGCTGACTGACTTGGGGGAAGCTTAAGGAGGAATGAAAAAGACTGATGACAAAGAAAGGCTTCCTGATGTCAGGAAGCAGTAGGAGAGAAGGGCTAATGCAAACCGACAACGTAAGGATAAAGTATCAGTGTAAGTATAGGAAGCAGAAGGATAAGCAGGACAACAATCATGGAAGAAGGAAGCTGACATTCAGCTGGAAGAAGCTGAAGAAGGTGTCTCAGCCTAGGTCAAAATAATTTTATGGGGCTGGAGCCAGGTTGCAGGAGATTAAGGAATGATGTAGAGATGAGAGGAAACGGAGTCAGCAAAAATAAACCACCCACTCCAGAAACTAGAAAAGAAAAGAAGGATGGAAGCTGGCAAAAGAAAGTGAAATGACAGGAGATATCTTTAGGATGGGGAAAAAAAAGGCATAGACTAAAGCACTGGAGCTTAAAGCAGACAGAGAGCAATAAATGCATCAACAGTATGACAACAGCAGGCATGAAGGGAGAGGGTCAAGCTGGAGATAGCAGCAGACCTGAAAAGCAAAAGCAAGCAAAGATCTCATAATGAGAAGCCAGAACCAAAGGCAAGTGGAGAGGTTGAACCAACACTGAATATCCATTTCAACAAGTTATCAGCATCCAAACTATAAATCACAATGAAGTCTGTAAACACCAGTCAGGGGATAAAAACACAGCATGGACAGAACCTAGGGGAACGCATATTTCAGGCAGGCAAGATGGTCACCGATACTAACAGAGAGTTACTGATCGAGGTGGGATTTGACCCTGGGGACTACAATGTGAAGGCTTGCAGTGCATGAGGGTGCTATGGCATTTGCACAGGAATGCTATACTATGCGTGCAATGAATGCTTGACATTATGTATATTGTACTCCTGCCATGTGGAAGTTGCAGAGGAGATGTCATTAATTTTGCCAGAAGTGCCTAGACCCAAATCCAAACACTGAAATGTGGGTGTTCTCCAGAGTACCACGGAACACAGCTGAGGTCCCAACAAAATGCTCCCACAGGAGAGGCAGGGCCAACAGGCAGCTCCTCCACTTTCCCAAGGCGTAGGCAGAGAGATAACTCAAGAAGTGGCAGCTGGGATGTTTCTGCCAGGCCTCCTGTTCCCAGGGACAAGAGGGGCCATGTGGCACTAAGAAAACATCACCACTTGCATCTTAAAGTGAACCAAGCAGTGATGTTGTCTTATTCTCTCCTCTCCAGAGACCTGTGCTTCCTCAGTTGCATCTGAATGCAAGAGACACAACAAACACCTTGAAAAATGAATTGGTCCAGGTCAAACCTGTATCCGGCAACCCTGTGCCTGACCCCACGCAGTCTGTGGCCAAAGCCAGCATGTGACACGGGTTGGTCAAGTGACTCATCATGTTACTTCAGCTTCAGGGATAAAACAGTGACACATTGAATATTTAAATCTTTCCCTTGTGAACGAAGTACACTGCTTAGTAAACAGTGCTTTCAGCTAACCATGCACCATAGCCCCCCTTCCCTGTTAATGAGATTAATGAGTTTGGCAAGCCAGGGACTGCTTTAATAAATGATTAGCTGAGCTTTAGCAAATTCTCATCTGACTAACTTACCCCAACCCACCCCCATGTGAATGTCTATATCAAGAAAAGCAAAGCAAAGCAAAGCAAAGCAAAGCAGCTTTTGGGAAAACACAGGAATTCTTTTTCTACCCAAAAGCATTTGGGAGATGTGCAGTAAATTATCGGGCATCTTCTATATTGTATCCCAAGCTCTTTGGTAACTTTTAAAGTATTCTTTTCCGATCCTTTCCATAAGTAGCATTTAAGAGCAACACAGTGCATCAGATTGAGAGACTGGAGCAGTGGAAACTCTAGATCTATTTAAGTCAAATTACATATAATTATATATGGCTGAACTGGGAAACGATACACCTGTTATTTCCTCTGCCAAAAAAAAAGATCAGAATCAATTCATGTAATACGTCACTGCCGTAACGGCGTCCATCAAAAAGGCCAACAGGATGTTCGATTGCCTGAAGACAAGATGGTGGCTTTACACCTGTCAGTTATGTCCATGCATGCAGATTACAGAGGTCTGCCTAGGACTTCCTCAACTTCAAGAAGAAACTGCTGACCTCAAAAATCTTCATGACACGAGCCAAGATAAGAAAAGCCTCAGATATATCACAGGACAGAACTCTGGGCTGTTTATACAGCAGAGCAAAAAAGACTGAAAGATATGAAAAACGATGACAAGCTTATTGACAGCACCATGGTAGCTCTTTGTCTAGTTTAATATAAGTAGGACTAAAAAGAAACTGAATTGTGCTCTGCTATGTTTTGACTAATGCAGACAGAGCAAGATTAGCCCTTATTTCAAAATCATCATGGAAATGTAATTCTTGCGCTCCAGAGAAGCAACCTGTTCATTGTGAATTTCACAATGTTTGAACTTTCACAAGAAAAATCTAGCTCGTGGGAGTCTCATGACTATGTGACAATTTTGCTTTCCTTCTTTCTTGTTCTCCTAAAACCCCAGAAAAAGGTCTGCAAATATTAATAAAGTGCATCTTAAAAACACAGATGCCCTTACTCTCAGAAAATAAAACGAATCCAGGGTTTAGTGTGTCTGTGCATGTGTATATATACACTCCCAGAGAAAGAGCTTAGAAATAATCACACTTCAGAAATATAATTGTATGGGTTTTGTCTGTTTCTCATTGGCAATGTGCATTTGTCTCCCTACTGTGATTCTTTTCCTGAACTATCCTCAGATTATGCATTCAAACTATGCAATCAGCATTACACACAAGCCATCACTAATACATTTTAGTGGTGATTAAAGAAAATTCGAGGAAGTGATTATAGAGGGGGATATTTGTAAGGGCGCATTTGAGCCTTGTGAGCCTGGTCTTCGTAAGCACCTTCCATGAGTAAAAGAGAGAAGGCAACTCAGAGGCAACAGCTTAGGCTCTTGTTTTTCAGTTGCCCTCCAGAGGACCTGATGCCTCCCTGAGGCTAGTCGAATCTCAGGAAGATTTATCTTCATTACACAGCCTCAAGTTAGCCTTTATGAATAGAATCATAGAATCACAGAATGCTTTGGTTTGGAAGGGACCTTAAAGATCATCTCATTAGAATAAAGTTGATCTGAAGCACTAATCCTTGTAAATAATAGCAAAGCCAAATACTGTAGTTCAGTGTAACAGGTCTCAGACTGCATCCTTCTAGTGCATAAAGTAAGATTTGAGTCCAAGAGGAGGCAGCAGACATTATTCTTCAGGTCAGCGTGCGTCTCCCTATCTGTGCATGCATCACATCTCTTTCTTAATTGGCTCACACTACCACTTGCCTGAGGCAGTACAGTTGATGCTATGAAACTACAAAAATTACATCCCTCGATTTTATGCACCTTTATTGATACGAGTGGCAGCTGTGCACACAGGAGAATGGAAGTCCCCAGGTCTTGAACTAGGCACCTCAGGAAAACTACTCCGAGGCTATACCTAAGGGCTTTGGCAGAAAAGCATATGTTCATCGGTAAGAGACAGTGCTCTTAGGGTACTTACATCCCTTCCCCAAACAAAATAAACTGTTGGGAAAAAGGATGCTATATATCTCTCTTTTGTGCCTTGCCTACTATGCATCAATTAAAAGTGTTCTTCTCCCCCACTGCTGAATACAGGCAGACCATCCACACTTTCAAATGTGGATCAAGCCTGAATCAGGAAGTGCAAGATCTGGGCTTTGAGACTGAAAAGTCAGAGATGATAAACAGATGTCTAAACAGGTAAATGGAGAGCCAATGGGATCACTGAGATTGTGTTGCACGAATTCTTGCCTACTCATGCCGGACTAAATCCAATCCATGCAATTAACCAGCAAAACCCATCACCATCAGATTGTGTCAAGTGGCTTATGGGAAATGAATCATATGTCTTGGTCTAGCTCCAATCAGACTTGTATTCTTAGCTCCATGGCCACTAATTGTCAACTTTTTTAGCCAGCAAGAAACCAATGCCTAAATAGGTCAGCTGCAGCTGAGGTGAAAGCACGGTACTGCTTTTTACAGCTCCGTAGCAAAACTGAGAATTTCAGCTCCCTAACTGCTTAACCTGGAAAGGGGCAAAACCAAAGCAATTGGAGAAAAGCATGGCCTTGCGTACCCAGCACTCATAGCACAGAACTGCAGTACAAACCCACTCCATGTCGGATGCAGCCCAGACTCTGCAAACTGGCTGCAGCAGACATTGGACTACTCCTTGCTCTTTCCCATTCTCTGTGATGTTGTCCCCCGGGTGCCCCATGCTCCTGACTTTTCTAGGGAAGTACACAGCCCTGAAATGGCACGGACTGTGTAATGGCTTTCACAAGAGCTCAGGACATTGCATGGGCTTTTCTAGGTATCGGTCTCTCTTCACCAGCTTCCCTGTGCTCATTACACTCTCTTACAACCTGCCCCTTTCACACATCCACAAAAGTTACCCTGGATGTTTTCAGGTGAATTATCTCAGCTTGGGCCACCAGATCAAATCCAACCTGTCTTATTACTGTCTGAAAGCTGTTACAATTGTCAGATGGCTCGTGGTTTACAGTCT